AAACCGAAACCCCAAACCCCAAACCCCAAACCCCAAACCCCAAACCCGAAACCCCAAACCCCAAACCCCAAACCCCAAACCCTAACGATCTTTGGTACAGAATTTTGAACGAACAATCTGTTCAAGGTATGATTTTTTGCAAGCTAAAAAGGGTGAGTGTGATTCTTGGTATTGGTCCAGCCTCCTTGAAAGATTATATTTGTTAATGAAGGAGATATATTGGAAGGTTGGGATTAGTTTGGTCTTGCTTCTTTCACAAGCTTCCAAATGAAAAGGTGTTTCACAGGGAGACTTAATTACCATAACTTATTCCACAGGATGGATATATTATTGTTGCCACAATGCAAGGCTTTTCTTCATAGGAGCTTGTATCCAGATTTTTTTTAAATATTGCCCATTATTACTGCCCTTCCCAATGAGTTTGTCACTAAAGCCAGTGAACAAGATAGAGTTAAAAACTCTTCAACTATAAAAGTGTTCTATAAAGAATGTCTCATGGGTTAGAAGTAGTAAGTAAATCTGAGACCTCATACACATTCCTTGAACTCAACGCATGAGAATATGTAGATCTTCCTTGTGTAATCCAAAAGAAAAACTACTAATAGGAACATTGTGACCTATTCCAATGACCTAATGCAATTTGGATGAGATAATGTAAGCCTGATTGAAGATCTCTTTACATATCTAAGAAGTGTTGTGAGACGTCTTGGTTGCTATTGGGGAGGTGAGGTCAACATACCTTCTTTTTAGGGTAGTTCCTATTAGGCAACATTGTCACAAATGATAAACCTCCAAATTTGCTTAGCTAAGAGGGTTTGATTAACTAGATGCATTTTCCTTAAGCCTAATACACCCTATTTTTTCAATACAAAAAGCTTGTCACCCTTAAGTAAGTGCATTCGCTTTTTTCCCATCAGCTGTTTCCTAAAAAAAAAAATCAATGCATCAATCTTCCCACATAGGTTTTTAGGTAGTTTGATGCAGGATAATTAATAAATGTTTGCAGCAGAGAGCACAGATTCAATAAGAGCAAGTCTTAAAGCTTGTGAAAGAGTTGGAATGTTCCAAGCACGCAAATCTCTTATTAATGGCTTCCATAATCAAAGTATACAGAGTAGATTTGTCTCACCATAAATCAGCCTAAGTTCTTAAGTATTTCTCCAATTTATCAAAAATACTTACCCCAAGAAAGTCATCCCATTCATCTTTAAGTTCTGGAAGAGCATTTGGGCTAATAATGAGTGAAGATTTAATCCGATTCACCTCATATCCAGACATGTAACAGTATTCCTCCATAACTCATTTAACAGCTTTGAGATTACCTCTAGAACACCCAAAGAACAAGAGTAAATCATTAACGTAAAGAAGGTAAGCAATTGGATTAGTTATAGGAAAAATTTTGATACCCTTCCAATTTCCTTTTTGTTCGTGATCCTAAATGAGGCATCTTAAGACATTAGCTACAAGAATATATGAGTAAGGTAAGAGACAGTTACTTTAAAATTCTTAATTAATACTTTAAGTTAAAATGCTTAATTAATATTTTAATTTATTTTTTAGATTAAGATGCAATTTGGATCTTGAACTATAGATCTAAGAGTGATTGAAACCCTAAACTTTTATTTGATACATTCTAAATTCTAAATAATTAAACTTAATGTAATTTTACCCCATCATTAAATTAAAACATACATTCGTTATTTTTTTAAAAAATGGGACCTAATGCGTGATTTTTACTAAATTTCACTCTCCCTCTCTCCCCTACCCTCCTTTAAAGAAAGTTGTACATTAGGCTCCATTTTCTTAAAAAAGAAAATAATGAATTTTTGCTTTAATTTAATAATGGAGGTAAAATTACATCAACTTTAATTGTTTAGAGTTTAAAATATACCAAATAAAACTTCAAAATTTAAATTTTTTCTGAATTTATAATTCAGGTCCAAATTACATATTAACTATTTAGTTTTTAACACCATTAAAAATATTTTATTTCAGATTTTAAAATGCTTAATTATACTGATTAAAATTATGTAAAAATTTTAAAATTATTAATTTTCCTTCACTTGACAATCTAATTGTTTTCTCTCTCCTTCCGTTTTAAAAAATTTTATCGTTATATTTGCATAATTATTTTACAAAATATTAAAATTAATGAACATATATTATATTAAAATAAATAAATAAAAATTATATTAAATAATTTATATTTTATTATATTAAAGTTTTAATTCATTGTTTTTTGGGCAAGAAATTTCTTAATTCATTAAACTTATATTTATGTATGATTCAACTTTTGTATATATTTAAAATTTATAAAATTTAAAAAATATTATATAAATAAGTTTATATAACTATAAATTTAAAATAAGATTAAAAATTTAAAATACATGCATTGTAATTATCATTTAAAAAATAAATGACATTTATATTAAAAAATAATATTTTAGTTCCAAATATATGATTTTACAATTAATTAATAATCAAACGGATAAAAATAAAATTTTAAAAATAGAAGACATGAATGTATTTTTGTAAATTTTGATTCTAATAAAAGTTTATATAAATTTTAAACAGAAAAAAAAAAGATTTATGACTAAAAATATAAGGAATGTTGGAGTATTTTACTCTCTCTCTCTATATAAAGACTAAAGGAATGGCAAACTAGCTAAAGATTTAAAATTTGACCTTATTTGATAAAGAATTTATAATTGATGTTACAACTTTTAATATGAAAAATAATAAAAATATTTAAATAAATGATACTCTTTTTATTTAAAAATATAAGATATTTTTAATTGAATATCACTCCTCAATAAAGTAGCTACCTATTTTCCAACTAATCCTATCTTTTTATATTTATCTCTATTAAAAATTTTATAATAAATATAAAATCATTATCAATAAAGGCACTTTAAAAAAATAATAATTAAAAATACCTTACATTTTGAACATTTAACTTATTAAAAAATATTTTATATTTTTTATCGAAAAGAGTATACATTGTTGTATATTATTTACAACTTATCTTCTGTAATAATTTATTACTACATGTATAATAAAATTAAATTTTAAAATTTTAACACAAATCACTCTAAAAAAAAACGTTGATTAACTGCAAATTAATGGATCTATTTTTTTTATTATGATACTAGCATGTGCAACGCATGGGTCAGAAAATATAAAGGGGTGAAAGGAAAGAGATTCTGTCCTCGATGCTGCCAACCCTAGTTTCTCTCTCCTTAGCCCGACTTTCCTCAAACACAAACTTGGCACCTCCTCTGTATTTCGGTATTTCCCTCCTTTTCTATCAGTTTCCCTAGACACAAGAGCGCGAACCGGCGCGGGCAACAACCTTTTCAGCTTTTATGTCCATTCTTACACACTAGGTGAATCATTGTGCTCGAAGGAGAACGTGAATTGGCAAAATGGGGAAGTACATGAAGAAATCCAAAATTGCTGGTGATATTGCAGTTATGGAGGTTTCGCCTCAGTCCTCTTTGGGCGTTCGTACCAGAGCTAAAACTCTCGCATTACAGAAGCTTCAGAAGTCATCATCCTTGTCGACACCGGACCCAGATGCTTCCCCCTCCTATCTGCAACTCCGAAGCCGCCGCCTCCAGAAGATTGCCGCCGGCTCCGAGACCCACCCTCCGCCGCCACAAAAAAAGTCTTGCCGAGAAAGCCCTATATGCGATATGATTGTAAATTCCAGATTTGATGAAAAGGAGGGGTTTTTTTCTACCGTACTTGGCAAGGAAACTCAGGCAGGGGAGTTGGAGAACAATGATGGGGGTATTGAGGGTTCTTATGGGGAAAATTTCCTGGAGGTTGAAGGCAGAGATCGGTATATAATTTTATTTTATCATGTTACCTGAGATTTTTTTTTTTTCAATCTATCTTTTTTTCTGATTTGAGTATTGAACCTCGTACATGAGTAATTTATCTGCTGGTGTTTACATTTCTCTGCCTTTCTGTGATTTTGTGATTGTGGAATTATTGTTACATTATTTGTGTGCATAGCTTTTTCTGCTGGTTATTGTTTTTGAAATGCAGTAACTTCATGCGTCTCTTGAAATTCTCGACTTAAAACAACCAGAAAGAAGGTACCATGAAGTTTTCTGAGAGTTATGGATTTTTTGTTTCTTGCATGAAATAATTTCGTTGGTTTGGAAGAAGGTTTTCTCTCCTCTCCCACGTCCTGTTTGGCCCATTCACCCTTCCTTCTAATTATCTTCATCTTGCTCTTTATTTATCAAGAGAATCAGAGAAACTTGTTTACATTTTTGTTAGCAGTGAGTGCTTTCTGTTGTCTACTTTTAAAAAAGTACTTTTACTTCCATATGTGATTTCATTGCATAAAATTAATTTCTGAAACCGTGCCCAAAACTGACGTTTGTAGTTCTTAAGATAAATTTGGATCTTCACAGTTCTTAACCGTCAATATTATGAGTTATGGATTCTTAAATGCTATTTTCGGTGTATTTATTTAACTTGAAGACATGGATTTATTAATGTATTTATTAACAATGTCTCTGCTGAGCTGGATACTGTAGATTAATAAGGCTACTTTCCTAACATTGGAGTCGCCACTTTGTAGTTTGTGCACCTGCATATAGGGATTCATTTGAACATAAACTTGGGTCTTGACAGATTTATTACTGGAGATGCACTCAGCTAGGACCATAATACATTCGTTTTGTTTTTTTCCTCAATTTTTATGTTATTGAACAGATTTGAATGCACCTGGTAGTTGCAGGAGCTCTGCCCTTGACTTGAGGAGATTTAGACTCAAACTAGATGGAGGAGATCATTAAATGTAATAAATAATAATAAAGAAATGTTCCGTAGTGACTGCATCATGTTTATGTATGACCTCGATTGTCCTTGCGGTCCATTTATTTGCAATTTGCAAGTTGCCTGGCTAAAGTCTTAGGCCTCTATAATAGTTAATATGAAAGTTCTTGACTTCTAGTCATGCCTATAGCAGCAACTCTTGTGACTCGTGCAAGCAACAACGATGTATCATAAGTTCATAATCATATACTTGGGGCCTTATTACAGGCTGAGATGCGTTCGTGGAATCTCTGTTTGGGTTTGCCGTCAGTGAGAAATATTTCGTCTGTCTCTTGCTTTGTATTTTTCTATCGGTAACTGAGGCCACCATGTCAGAATCTGTGCCATTACTGCCAGCTACTTTTTTAAGAGTAGCTATTTGTCTTTAGTTCCATACTGAAGAGATCTTGTAGGGGAAATAAACGTTCTTTTTTATTTCTCAAACTTAGAAATCACATGTTATGCGATGCCAGTTCTGTTGCAGAACCCTGTCAGGGTTTTTATTTGATTTAAAAATAACACACTCGTTCGCATCTTTTATTTTTGGGGTCAAATACAAGGATTGTAGAAGGACTGACTTGTAACGAGCTTATTAATTTTTAGGATTAACTTGTACAGTTATTAATTTTTGAAGATTAAAACTAACTAGGCCTATTAAGATGTATGTTTATTCTTTCTATTAGTTGCAAGATTTGTGTTCATACCATCACCCTGTACTTAATCAGGCTTTTTTTTGTGCTAAGCATATTTTGGTTACACCTTGTTGGTTAAACAGGAGCACAAGGGAAAGCACTCCTTGTAGTTTAATTAGGGACTCGAATGCCGTTAGCACCCCTGGTTCAACCACAAGGCAAAGGGCACCCAGCATCACTAACCAGATCATTTGCGAACACATACAGAGAAATATTCCTACAGCTTACGAGATGGATGAGTTCTTCGCATTTGCAGAGAAGCAGCAGCAAATTATATTTATGGGCAAGTATGTTATCTTTATCACCAATGCCTTCTTTGTTTCATGTGGTGATTTACCCAATTGGTTGAGTGAAAAAAACTATATTAATTGTTTAGTGTTTTTATCAGCTTTATATACTTCGAGAACTTGACCGAAATCTTGTGCTGACACGCATTGCTTTTATTTTGCAGATATAACTTCGACATTGTCAATGATGTACCTTTGCCAGGTCGATATGAATGGGTGCAGGGACTTCAGTAGGCGGAGGTTGCTTAGTTGAGGTCTAGGGTACTCTGCTACTATGTTGATTTCAAGCTGAGCTATTAACATTTGTCGATTTTACAACTAACATACAAAACCAATTAGATTGCTAGAAGCACTTGCTCAACTAGAGGAGGGATCGCATCTGTTGAGAGGAGAATTGTCTTAAATTTCCAGTTTAGCCTTTCAAGTTTTTTCAGCTTTGCTTTGTAATCTGCTGTGGTCTTTTCTCCTTTTTTCCCTCCCTTTACCTCCTTATTGTCCATATGTAGGTATGGTGAACCGTGATTAATAATAATGTTAGAGTAGCTATTCTTCCACCTGTTAAATTTGATTTTTTTTAAAAAAAATGACTGTGTTCTTATTAAGTTTTGGAGTTAATGTCTTAAGTGTGTCTTTGGATAAAAAATTTGCCACTGAAGTTAGGTTAGCAAATTGAAGTTAGAAAAAAAGTATATGATTTTAATGTGATTTATGTTTGGATATTTTTTTTTTTTATAAATCAGTTGAACAAATTGAAAATTATTTGGATGATTTGATTCAAAAGTTAGTTAAGATATATAATGACAAAAATAGGTATAAATTTTGTTGTCTATATTTTTGTGATCAATTTGATATTTTTAGGAAAAAAAATCATAAACTTTAGATTGCATTTAAAAAGTTGGACTTAAAATATATAAAATAAATTAATTATTTAAAAATCAAAATTTTTAAAAAGAGCATGAATGAAATGATAAATTATAGTTTATATATAATTAAAATTTAATAAATTGTGTAATTTGATCTTTTTTAAAAAAATCAAACTTTAAATTTAAATTTAGAAAAACAATATATATAAAATGAGGTGTTAAGCATTAACTATTAACTATTATTTATAATATTGGATTACTTTTGTAGAAGCACCAGTAGTTCGGTCTCAACCTCCCAAATGCTATATTTCACCAATGCCACCTTCTTTGATCTCATCTACAACATTTTCACGGACATTACCTTTATCGTTGACAACACATTCCTTCTCTTCTTTACTAACCTTGTCTTCTCCATGCAGGTTGGCTTTGCCATGCTCTAGGCTGTCTCCTTTCGTGCCAAAAACACCATGAGTACTGGTTCAATTGAAGGAAGATCGAATGGCAACAACAATGGTGAGCATAATATCTAGTCAGATTTGCGGCGAGAGATCAGATGGTGGCGAGCACACTTGTGAAAGTAGAGACTTGTGAAGGCAGAGGAGAAGAAATGATGCCACTCGTAAATGAAGAGAGAAAAGACAGCATTGTGAATCAGTGCGAGCAACACAATGCACACACAGTGGAGATTGGGTCTCAACGGCAGTGGTAGTTGTGGCTGTGATCTCTCATCAAATCCAACAAGCTTGGGAGAGTGAAGGGCGAGCCAGAGCAGCCATAGGAGCAGCAATGACGACGATCTGGGCAGAGAGCAAGCAACTGAAGTGAGAGAATAAAAAATTTAAAAAGCATTTAATGCTCCAATGTTCATATATTTGGACGCCCAATGCTGATGGAAAAGTTGGGTGGTTGAGCTTTGGCAAAAACGTTGGTTTGGACCCTAACTAAGGTTGATTATTTTTTTGCTATCCAAACATGATAAATGAAGCTTTTAAGATCCCAACTTAGGTTTGGTCCCTCCTAACTTAAGTTAAGATTCAATCCAAACATGCTCTAAAAATGAGTTTAGAATTTAAATTATTGCTAGATGCACGGTTCCACCTGTCTCAAATTTCACTCTTGCTTTTGGTCTTAGAAATTGGTTTTCCTCAACAACACCATCGTCGATGCTTTGCCTGCTTTATGAATGGACATCTCTTTCCACACGCCTTTGCCCGTGCTTTGCTTGTTCGTCACTTGAACGACATTATTGTTGCAGCTCTTGGGGATCCTAACTACTGACTTGGTGAGAGAGACGCTGAGTGAGTGGGGCGAGAAGGGGGTGGGGGGAGAGGGGAGGGAAAGGAGGAATTTGTTAGGAAACAAAATAAACATTTATCGAAGGTCTAGTTAATCAAGTTTGCATGTAGGTTATGTCATGGAGTAACATGAGCATATTGGATGATCATAAATAAGAGAATTCACTAAAGAGGGTAGGGTGATAAGGAAATCAACATGGTACTTACCAGTATCGTGAGGCTTGGTGTTTTAGTTCTTTACTATCATCCTAGATTGAGTATTACTCTGGATTTGGTATTGCCTTGGACTTTGTAGAATGACATTGAGTTTAGAATGGGAAAATTCATGGTCTAAGTGTAAGGCTTTAGCTAGGTCATTTCTCACAATTGGAGAGCAAATCTAATTTGGTCACATAGGTTGGTCCTATATGATTTTATAGCTCATGAATTTAGTCAAAAGATGTAAAGAGAGAAATAAAGATTGAATACCTAATTTATTATCATTGCATTATATGCCTTTTCGTTAATGATTAATAGTTTTATAATACATGTTGAATATGGAAAGATTGTTGAAACAACTCCAATTTAAAATTCACACTTAACCACATCCTAACATGGTAGTATAAGATTTACCTACCATGATAGAAAAGGAACAACCTAATTATCATGGTAAAAAAAGAACTACCCTTGCTTCTACCATGACATTTAGAGTAAGCCTAATTAACTAACATAAACCCTTACTATGGTAGAAAATATTTCCACATAATATTCAAGGCAACCATAACAAAAAAGGCTAAAATTATTGATTCCATAATAACTTTATAATTAGATAATTATTCACATCTATTATGATAGGAAAGGAACAAACTCCTTGTGCAACCTACTAGCAGTAAAGGAATAATCCTACATAATTATAATTCGGATAATTGAAATAGGAAATGATAAATAGAAATAAAACGTAAATAAAAATATACACTAATGCCTCCAGTCAAATCCCCTCAACTTGTGGCTCGGAGGCTAAAAGAATAATGCAGTCCAATATAAAAAGAAATATCAATTAAATAAATAAAATGTCTGAGTTATGTGGTCATAAGTGTGGTAACAAGCTTCTTCCTCCAAGGCCATACTTCTTACAAAATTGGCAATCTTTGAGCCTATTCCATTCCCTAGGCTCCGCTATTAATTCCTATAACAATTAAGAAGAAAGTGAGACGATGTCTCAATAACCTCTTAGAGGTTATAGTATATCCATATCCAGTAGATGACTTGATCTATTGGGTTTTCACAAACATTTCACTTCCCACTAATAATTATCATAAAGAAATTTCAAATATATCTAAATTCAATGCAACAATCACTATTAGCTATTATGCTTGAAAATGTTTTATCTAATATATGACTATTTCACAGGTAACAAAAGCACATTAGAAAAGTTTCATTCATATAACACAAGAATTTAGACAAAAGACACGAGAATCCATTAACTTTATCCAATAATTCAAGTATATACTGTCCAAAGGACATCAATGATATCAAATCAATATTACATTCAAAAAGCATAAACCATTTGAAATACAATATTAATAGATGAAAAGTTAATTTTATTTTGCATTAAGTTCCTCCTTATCTCCTCTTTATTTTCACTGGCTAAAGCCTTAGGCAAAAGTTGGTGCTTAGCCAAAAGCCCATTACTCCATATCAAACCTTAACTTCCCCCTTTGACCAAAAGGGTATCCCAGAAGGTATCGAGCTTATCCTAACCCTAGTCAAAGAAATTACACAGCTCAGGCACTGAGTAAAGCCACTCTGTGTGCAACACACGAGGACAAATGCATAGTCATGGTTCAACCTTATTTTCTCTGCTTTATCCCACAACCTACAACCACCTCATGTACAGAACAATTCCAATATATTTCAAAGTTAATCACATTTTCATTTATCACATGATTATTCAATAATGTTCAATGACAATAAACTATCATCCAAAGCAATTATATTTGAGTCATCACATCAGAATCAAATTTTACACTATACATTGTATTTACAACGTCATCACAATTAAATTATACAATCAATTAAGATCAATTAGCATTTATCGAATTCTAAATTTTCATACAAGCAATATAGCATTTCTAAGTGTTTCGCTATGGAATATAAATTCTCTCAATTTCTTTTTACTCTTCACTAGACTAAATTTTGCAAAATATTATAATATACATGCTTTATTTGATTCAATTTCATATAAGTATTGTTAAACTTATAATTACCTACCAACACATGTACACAACGTAATCTAAAAAAAGTTATCAAAACTCGAGTTCACTTAAAAAAAAACTAACATTTTTTTTTAAGAGATCCTCCATCTAACTCAAAATGTCAAAGTAAAATTAAGGAGTCTCTTAAGAAACTCCTAACACCTCTACAAACAATAATTTAAAGATTTAAAGTCATATTAAATTTATGTTTAATTATTTATTACTCTCTAGTTATCTCAAAATACTCATGGAAGATATATTTAAGTTACAAAATTTATGTAATTAACATTAAATTTTTATAATCTCTTAATAAAAAAATATACAATTTCTTAATTTTACTTTTTGAAAGAAAAAATTTAATAATTTTAACAATTAGGGATTAATATGATTAATTGATTAAATTATAAAAGCTTAATTAAAACAAAATAAATTCCAGGAATCTATTTCAAAACTTGAATCCATTATTTAATATAAAAAAAGACAAGCTAGCATTCTTGATCCAAATTTTCTCAAACTTATTCTAGCATTTCAAATAAATCCAAAAAAATAAACAGAAAAAATGATAATTAAGTCCCAATAAAATTAATTTATTCCACTAGATGCCAACAAATTCCAAAAAGGAAAGTCCCTCTAGTCCTTAGGTGGCCTTATGATCCACATTAAAAAAGACTCAAATACTTCTAATGACAAAAATTTTGACTATAAAAATTTGCAATTTTGGTTTGCAGCTTTATTTTCTAATTTTATTTAGAAACACAATATTTTAACATTAAATTTTAAAATTATTTATAACTTATTTTCTCATATTTGCAACTCCATTTAGTTAGATTTGCATCTCCATATACAAGTTTTATTAATGTACATCTCAACATTAATTTTAACATTGTTCTTTTGTCCGCACGAACCCTAACACTCAAATCACTATTTCCAAAATCATTGACTCATTCATGGTTCAAAAAATCTATCCCTAAGAGGGCAGTGATGAAAGAGACAATGGAATTAATTTGGATTGCAAAAAATCAAAGCGACAAGTGATATCAAAGCGGTGAGTTGTGTGACAATGATAAAGTGGGGGTGAGTTGAAGCAAGGACATAAAAGAAGAAAGAATGGTAACTTCAAGAATATTAGACATGAGAGAATAAGCTTAAGCTTTTGGAAGCTCCCAAAGGAGACGGGGATAGGACCTGATAAATTATTTTCGATCAAGCTGAGATATCTGAAATTGGGAAGTAGGGACAAAGTGTGTAGGAGTTCAACAGTAAGGAAGTTTTGAGAGAGTTCAACGTGAATAGGGGGCAACAAGAAAAGATTTTCGAAGTGGAATTCAATTTGGATTCATGACAATAAGGTATTGAGCTGCATGATATCAAAGCTTAAAGAGGTGAAAAAGGTAGTGAGGTTGCGGAAGGGGAAGATGGCGATTGTGATAGTTATATGCCATGATGTCACGGTTTTTGGTGGTGGAGGTGAAGAAGGACAACGATGATACCTTGGAGTACATGTTAGAATTTAGTATCTCAATTCATATAAATAAGAAAAGTAAAGAATATATGCATACCTGAAAAATCTATGAGCGCTTGAGAAATCTCGATTATCTCGAGTGTAGACAGGTGCACATCTTACAAGTCTCCAGAGTTTTCAGAGAGTTCAGAGATAATAGAGCAGAAGAAAATGAGCCGTGTATTTACAGTTATCAACTGATCGACTTATATGGATCAGATCGTTGATCGCCTTATTAAATAATTAAATAATTATATATTTATTATCTCTGACTTAGTCAGTTAAGAGATAGGGAATAACTGACGGCTACTGGGTTGTGGGTTGGGCCTCTACCCATTGGGCTTAGTTGTGTGGTCCTCCTATCATGATCCACACAAGATTATAAAGACCAATCTGTTTGGGCTTATTAATTAATGTTAATCCATAAATAAATAAATAAATATTCTAACAATCTCCCACTTATATTGCATTAATTAAGCAAGTAGTATAAATAAGCCATAAACAAAATTCAAAAAATGAAACTCCACAAAATCACTGGATCCTATAGGGAAACAACTGATATGATATCTCATAATCTGAATAAAACACAAAATTTTATTTTAAACACGGCTCAATAAGATAACAACATAAATCACTAATTCCTATGGGGAAGCAAGTGACATGCATAGTATGCCACAACAGAATTATTGAATCCTATGGGGATACAAATGATATAGACGCATTTAACTGAACTAAATGTAACTCACAGAAGAAAACAAAAGTCTAAAGAGAAATTACAACACAAAAGATTCTTAAACTCCCACTAAAACAGGGCATCAAAGGAATTCACAATACCCGTACAAGTTATATGATTTTGAAAAAAAAAACTTCTACAAGTAAGCCCTTGATCAATGAATCTACAAGCATCTGCATGCCAGGAATGTGTACCACACAGGTTTGAGACTCAGTAATTTTCTCTTTTACAAACATAAGTTCGATATCAAAATGATTTGTATGACTGAAATTTCTGTGATTATTAACATAGTATACTACAGATTTATTATCACAGTAAATGGTTAAAGGACGTGATATTGACTCAACTAGGCGCATACTAGATATCAACTTTCTCAGCCATATAGCGTGGCGTGTAGTCTTAAAACAAGCAATATATTCAGCTTCCATGGATGAAACTGCTATAACTGTCTGTTTCACACTTTTTCAAGAGACAGCTCCTCCAGACAACATGAAAATGTGGCCGGTTGTGGATTTATGATCATCCCAACAAGAGGCAAAATCTGAATCTAAAAAGCTAACAATTTCAAGATCTTCTGATCCCTTAAAGTCATAATCAAAATACCCAACAACCTTAAGAGAATTTGACCTTCTGTAAGGTAACATATAATTCTTTGTACCCTGAAGATTCCTCATAAGTTTCTTAGTAGCCTTCCAATGATCTGGACCTAGATTATTTAAGTATTGGCCTAGCACTTTAATGGCAAAGGCTATATCTGGTCGAGTACACACTTGAAGATACATAAGGTTACCGACAGCGGAAGCGTATGGTATCTTTCTCATTTCAGCCGTCTTCTTATCATCCTTGGGACATTGTAACTTTGATAACAGCTTACCTTTTTGTACAGGAGCAGGTGAGGGAAAACATGAATCCATTTTGAATCTCTTGAATACCTGCTCAATATAAGTAGTCTGTAATAAACTAAGAATACCACGATCTATCAGGATGAATCTGTATCCCAAGAACGAAAGAGGCTTCACCCATGTCTTTCATGTCAAAATGGCAAGACAATAGGTGCTTTATCTCATTGAGAAAATTTATTGAATTCTTAGCTAATAAGATATCATCAACATAGAGAACAAGAATGAAAAAATTATTCCCATCAAACTTCTGATAGATACACTGATCTGAGACATTCTTAATAAAACTGAGTGAGGTGACAACTTCATCAAACTTTAGATACTATTGCCTAGAAGCCTGTTTTAGCCCATAGATAGATCTCTTCAATCTACACACTAGATGTTCTTTACCAACTTTCAACAAAACCATCAAGTTGTGTCATGTAGACTTCTTCATACAAATCGCCATTCAAGAACGCAATCTTGACATCCATCTGGTGAAAATCAAGATCAAACTGTGCAACTAAAGCCATTACCACTCTAAAGGCATCTTTGGTGGATACCGAAGAGAAGTTCTCTGTGTAATCAATACCTTCTTTCTGGTTGTAGTCCTTAGCTACAAGTCTGACTTTGTATATATCAATTTCACCTCTAACTTCTCATTTTGTTTTAAAGACCCACTTGCAACCAACTATTTTAAAACCCTTTGGTAGCTCTACAAGCTCCCATACGTGATTGCAATATATAGAGGTGATTTCTTTACTCATAGCCTCCAACCATTCAGAAGAATGCGAGCTAGAAATAGCCTCTTGGTAAGATATCAAGTCTAAACTATCAATAGCATCTGAATCAAATTCCTATAGATACACCATGTAATCATCTAGAATAGCAGACCTGCGAACCCTTTGGGACCATCTTGGTTCAACAACCAGATCTCCATCACCCTCTAAAGGTGGTTCATCTTCAGCTTCATCCTGATCCACATCATTATTTCTGTCAACATGAGGGGTTGTCAAGATAGGCATAAGCAAAGTACTGCTTTCATCATGTAAAGTAATATGCTTAGGCCCAGAGCTCCCACTGTCTAAGGCATCTTCAAAGAAATAAGCTCGGTCAGATTCAATTACCTTAATAATGTGATTTGGACAATAGAATTTGTACCTGCGAGATCTGATGCAATAACCAATAAAGAAACCATCAATAGTTTTAGCATCAAGCCTCATCTGTTGTGGATTGTAAGGTTTTACTTGTGCTTTACAACCCTAAACTTGCATATGCTTCAACGCAGGAGTCCTTCCAAAATTCAACTCGTATGTAGTCTTTGGAACTGACTTGCTAGGAACTTAATTCAAAATATAGACAGTAGTTTTAAGTGTATCACCCTATAAGAATTTCGATAGTGAGGAGTGACTGATCATATTTCTAACCATATCCATGAGAGTACGATTTCTCCTTTTTGCAAACCCATTCTACTGGAGGGTGCCAGGCATAGTATACTGAACTTCAATGCCATGCTCTTGAAGGTATAAAGCGAATGGCCCATAATTTCTACTAGTTTCAATATATCTCCCATAAAATTCTTCTCCTTTGTCAGATCTCACACATTTGATCAACTTGTTAGATTTCAATTCGACTGCTGCCTTAAAGGTCTTGAATGCATTAAGAGACTTGCCCTTCTCATATAAGATTTCAATCCATCCATAATAAGAGTAATCATCTGTGAAGGTGATGAAATATCTGAAACCACCCATAGTCGGAGGTGTGATAGGTCTAAAGTATTTTCAGACCTCTTTTTCCCTTTGGTTTTAGCTCAAGTAGGGAATTTTCCCTCTATGTAATCAATACAAGTCTCAAAATCTGAGAAATCAAGGTCTTGCAAGACACCTTGTTTGGCCATGCGTTCCAATCTCTCTCTAGAGATATGACCCAAACAACGATGCCATAATATGAAGGAATTATCACTGGGCCTTTGACGTTTATACCCAATGGCAGCATTGATATAGAAATTAGGAAGTTTAAGTGACCAATTAGTCAATCGATATAAACCATATATCAAGGAAGCGAAACCAACATTAATGGAATCAAAACAAATGTCAATTTTCCTATTTCCTTGGAAGAAAGAATAGCCATAAATATTCAATACAGAAATTAAAATTAAATTCCTCTTCGCAGAAGGTACATAAATGACATTGTTCAAATGTAAAACATGACTAAAATTTAAATACAAAGTAATAGTCCCAATGCATTCAACTAATGCCTTGCTCCCTGCTATGCCAAAGACTGACTTCTGTGCCTCACTTGGAATCTTCTGGTTTCTTAGCCTCTGTAGAGAATTCACAACATATACAGTGGCACCAGAATCCAACCACCATGAGTCAAAGAAAGTTTCAATGGTGTTAGATTTAAAACAAACTAGAGCTAGAGGGGTAGTTTGAAGATTTACACCTTCACTTTCTTGTTTGTTCTTCAGTTTGAAGCAATTAGCTTTAATATTAAAATATTAATATTAATTATGAAATATTAATGGATATACCCTATAGGTGTGATATTATTAATGTGATTTTGATGGTTGATTTTAAGGATAGGCTAATAACACTCCTTTAATGTGTTAAATATTTATTGTACCCTATAGGTATGGAAATGTTTAATGCATTATCTTGTATGGACTTTTGTATGAGCTAAATTTTAATGGTATATGAGCATTCTTAGTGCATGATTATAGTTGCATTATTGATAATTGCTTGTTGGGGAATTCTATTTCATAATTATGTTGTGTACACATAATTAATATTTCCCATTTTCCGTTTTGTGATTTCAGTTTCTGCTTTTGCACAACTATCCTTTGTGAAGGCTCTCAATGGGACTAACTATGATGACTGGAAAGAGTCCTTGAATATGTATCTAACCATTTTTGAGAAAGATTTAGGTTTGAGAGAGCCCAAGCTTGCGGATCTCTTTTCTGAGTCCAGTGCTTCTGAAATGGTCTTCCATAATACATTCGTTTTGTTTTTTTTCCTCAATTTTTATGTTATTGAACAGATTTGAATGCACCTGGTAGTTGCAGGAGCTCTGCCCTTGACTTGAGGAGATTTAGACTCAAACTAGATGGAGGAGATCATTAAATGTAATAAATAATAATAAAGAAATGTTCCGTAGTGACTGCATCATGTTTATGTATGACCTCGATTGTCCTTGCGGTCCATTTATTTGCAATTTGCAAGTTGCCTGGCTAAAGTCTTAGGCCTCTATAATAGTTAATATGAAAGTTCTTGACTTCTAGTCATGCCTATAGCAGCAACTCTTGTGACTCGTGCAAGCAACAACGATGTATCATAAGTTCATAATCATATACTTGGGGCCTTATTACAGGCTGAGATGCGTTCGTGGAATCTCTGTTTGGGTTTGCCGTCAGTGAGAAATATTTCGTCTGTCTCTTGCTTTGTATTTTTCTATCGGTAACTGAGGCCACCATGTCAGAATCTGTGCCATTACTGCCAGCTACTTTTTTAAGAGTAGCTATTTGTCTTTAGTTCCATACTGAAGAGATCTTGTAGGGGAAATAAACGTTCTTTTTTATTTCTCAAACTTAGAAATCACATGTTATGCGATGCCAGTTCTGTTGCAGAACCCTGTCAGGGTTTTTATTTGATTTAAAAATAACACACTCGTTCGCATCTTTTATTTTTGGGGTCAAATACAAGGATTGTAGAAGGACTGACTTGTAACGAGCTTATTAATTTTTAGGATTAACTTGTACAGTTATTAATTTTTGAAGATTAAAACTAACTAGGCCTATTAAGATGTATGTTTATTCTTTCTATTAGTTGCAAGATTTGTGTTCATACCATCACCCTGTACTTAATCAGGCTTTTTTTTGTGCTAAGCATATTTTGGTTACACCTTGTTGGTTAAACAGGAGCACAAGGGAAAGCACTCCTTGTAGTTTAATTAGGGACTCGAATGCCGTTAGCACCCCTGGTTCAACCACAAGGCAAAGGGCACCCAGCATCACTAACCAGATCATTTGCGAACACATACAGAGAAATATTCCTACAGCTTACGAGATGGATGAGTTCTTCGCATTTGCAGAGAAGCAGCAGCAAATTATATTTATGGGCAAGTATGTTATCTTTATCACCAATGCCTTCTTTGTTTCATGTGGTGATTTACCCAATTGGTTGAGTGAAAAAAACTATATTAATTGTTTAGTGTTTTTATCAGCTTTATATACTTCGAGAACTTGACCGAAATCTTGTGCTGACACGCATTGCTTTTATTTTGCAGATATAACTTCGACATTGTCAATGATGTACCTTTGCCAGGTCGATATGAATGGGTGCAGGGACTTCAGTAGGCGGAGGTTGCTTAGTTGAGGTCTAGGGTACTCTGCTACTATGTTGATTTCAAGCTGAGCTATTAACATTTGTCGATTTTACAACTAACATACAAAACCAATTAGATTGCTAGAAGCACTTGCTCAACTAGAGGAGGGATCGCATCTGTTGAGAGGAGAATTGTCTTAAATTTCCAGTTTAGCCTTTCAAGTTTTTTCAGCTTTGCTTTGTAATCTGCTGTGGTCTTTTCTCCTTTTTTCCCTCCCTTTACCTCCTTATTGTCCATATGTAGGTATGGTGAACCGTGATTAATAATAATGTTAGAGTAGCTATTCTTCCACCTGTTAAATTTGATTTTTTTTAAAAAAAAATGACTGTGTTCTTATTAAGTTTTGGAGTTAATGTCTTAAGTGTGTCTTTGGATAAAAAATTTGCCACTGAAGTTAGGTTAGCAAATTGAAGTTAGAAAAAAAGTATATGATTTTAATGTGATTTATGTTTGGATATTTTTTTTTTTTTATAAATCAGTTGAACAAATTGAAAATTATTTGGATGATTTGATTCAAAAGTTAGTTAAGATATATAATGACAAAAATAGGTATAAATTTTGTTGTCTATATTTTTGTGATCAATTTGATATTTTTAGGAAAAAAAATCATAAACTTTAGATTGCATTTAAAAAGTTGGACTTAAAATATATAAAATAAATTAATTATTTAAAAATCAAAATTTTTAAAAAGAGCATGAATGAAATGATAAATTATAGTTTATATATAATTAAAATTTAATAAATTGTGTAATTTGATCTTTTTTAAAAAAATCAAACTTTAAATTTAAATTTAGAAAAACAATATATATAAAATGAGGTGTTAAGCATTAACTATTAACTATTATTTATAATATTGGATTACTTTTGTAGAAGCACCAGTAGTTCGGTCTCAACCTCCCAAATGCTATATTTCACCAATGCCACCTTCTTTGATCTCATCTACAACATTTTCACGGACATTACCTTTATCGTTGACAACACATTCCTTCTCTTCTTTACTAACCTTGTCTTCTCCATGCAGGTTGGCTTTGCCATGCTCTAGGCTGTCTCCTTTCGTGCCAAAAACACCATGAGTACTGGTTCAATTGAAGGAAGATCGAATGGCAACAACAATGGTGAGCATAATATCTAGTCAGATTTGCGGCGAGAGATCAGATGGTGGCGAGCACACTTGTGAAAGTAGAGACTTGTGAAGGCAGAGGAGAAGAAATGATGCCACTCGTAAATGAAGAGAGAAAAGACAGCATTGTGAATCAGTGCGAGCAACACAATGCACACACAGTGGAGATTGGGTCTCAACGGCAGTGGTAGTTGTGGCTGTGATCTCTCATCAAATCCAACAAGCTTGGGAGAGTGAAGGGCGAGCCAGAGCAGCCATAGGAGCAGCAATGACGACGATCTGGGCAGAGAGCAAGCAACTGAAGTGAGAGAATAAAAAATTTAAAAAGCATTTAATGCTCCAATGTTCATATATTTGGACGCCCAATGCTGATGGAAAAGTTGGGTGGTTGAGCTTTGGCAAAAACGTTGGTTTGGACCCTAACTAAGGTTGATTATTTTTTTGCTATCCAAACATGATAAATGAAGCTTTTAAGATCCCAACTTAGGTTTGGTCCCTCCTAACTTAAGTTAAGATTCAATCCAAACATGCTCTAAAAATGAGTTTAGAATTTAAATTATTGCTAGATGCACGGTTCCACCTGTCTCAAATTTCACTCTTGCTTTTGGTCTTAGAAATTGGTTTTCCTCAACAACACCATCGTCGATGCTTTGCCTGCTTTATGAATGGACATCTCTTTCCACACGCCTTTGCCCGTGCTTTGCTTGTTCGTCACTTGAACGACATTATTGTTGCAGCTCTTGGGGATCCTAACTACTGACTTGGTGAGAGAGACGCTGAGTGAGTGGGGCGAGAAGGGGGTGGGGGAGAGGGGAGGGAAAGGAGGAATTTGTTAGGAAACAAAATAAACATTTATCGAAGGTCTAGTTAATCAAGTTTGCATGTAGGTTATGTCATGGAGTAACATGAGCATATTGGATGATCATAAATAAGAGAATTCACTAAAGAGGGTAGGGTGATAAGGAAATCAACATGGTACTTACCAGTATCGTGAGGCTTGGTGTTTTAGTTCTTTACTATCATCCTAGATTGAGTATTACTCTGGATTTGGTATTGCCTTGGACTTTGTAGAATGACATTGAGTTTAGAATGGGAAAATTCATGGTCTAAGTGTAAGGCTTTAGCTAGGTCATTTCTCACAATTGGAGAGCAAATCTAATTTGGTCACATAGGTTGGTCCTATATGATTTTATAGCTCATGAATTTAGTCAAAAGATGTAAAGAGAGAAATAAAGATTGAATACCTAATTTATTATCATTGCATTATATGCCTTTTCGTTAATGATTAATAGTTTTATAATACATGTTGAATATGGAAAGATTGTTGAAACAACTCCAATTTAAAATTCACACTTAACCACATCCTAACATGGTAGTATAAGATTTACCTACCATGATAGAAAAGGAACAACCTAATTATCATGGTAAAAAAAGAACTACCCTTGCTTCTACCATGACATTTAGAGTAAGCCTAATTAACTAACATAAACCCTTACTATGGTAGAAAATATTTCCACATAATATTCAAGGCAACCATAACAAAAAAGGCTAAAATTATTGATTCCATAATAACTTTATAATTAGATAATTATTCACATCTATTATGATAGGAAAGGAACAAACTCCTTGTGCAACCTACTAGCAGTAAAGGAATAATCCTACATAATTATAATTCGGATAATTGAAATAGGAAATGATAAATAGAAATAAAACGTAAATAAAAATATACACTAATGCCTCCAGTCAAATCCCCTCAACTTGTGGCTCGGAGGCTAAAAGAATAATGCAGTCCAATATAAAAAGAAATATCAATTAAATAAATAAAATGTCTGAGTTATGTGGTCATAAGTGTGGTAACAAGCTTCTTCCTCCAAGGCCATACTTCTTACAAAATTGGCAATCTTTGAGCCTATTCCATTCCCTAGGCTCCGCTATTAATTCCTATAACAATTAAGAAGAAAGTGAGACGATGTCTCAATAACCTCTTAGAGGTTATAGTATATCCATATCCAGTAGATGACTTGATCTATTGGGTTTTCACAAACATTTCACTTCCCACTAATAATTATCATAAAGAAATTTCAAATATATCTAAATTCAATGCAACAATCACTATTAGCTATTATGCTTGAAAATGTTTTATCTAATATATGACTATTTCACAGGTAACAAAAGCACATTAGAAAAGTTTCATTCATATAACACAAGAATTTAGACAAAAGACACGAGAATCCATTAACTTTATCCAATAATTCAAGTATATACTGTCCAAAGGACATCAATGATATCAAATCAATATTACATTCAAAAAGCATAAACCATTTGAAATACAATATTAATAGATGAAAAGTTAATTTTATTTTGCATTAAGTTCCTCCTTATCTCCTCTTTATTTTCACTGGCTAAAGCCTTAGGCAAAAGTTGGTGCTTAGCCAAAAGCCCATTACTCCATATCAAACCTTAACTTCCCCCTTTGACCAAAAGGGTATCCCAGAAGGTATCGAGCTTATCCTAACCCTAGTCAAAGAAATTACACAGCTCAGGCACTGAGTAAAGCCACTCTGTGTGCAACACACGAGGACAAATGCATAGTCATGGTTCAACCTTATTTTCTCTGCTTTATCCCACAACCTACAACCACCTCATGTACAGAACAATTCCAATATATTTCAAAGTTAATCACATTTTCATTTATCACATGATTATTCAATAATGTTCAATGACAATAAACTATCATCCAAAGCAATTATATTTGAGTCATCACATCAGAATCAAATTTTACACTATACATTGTATTTACAACGTCATCACAATTAAATTATACAATCAATTAAGATCAATTAGCATTTATCGAATTCTAAATTTTCATACAAGCAATATAGCATTTCTAAGTGTTTCGCTATGGAATATAAATTCTCTCAATTTCTTTTTACTCTTCACTAGACTAAATTTTGCAAAATATTATAATATACATGCTTTATTTGATTCAATTTCATATAAGTATTGTTAAACTTATAATTACCTACCAACACATGTACACAACGTAATCTAAAAAAAGTTATCAAAACTCGAGTTCACTTAAAAAAAAACTAACATTTTTTTTTAAGAGATCCTCCATCTAACTCAAAATGTCAAAGTAAAATTAAGGAGTCTCTTAAGAAACTCCTAACACCTCTACAAACAATAATTTAAAGATTTAAAGTCATATTAAATTTATGTTTAATTATTTATTACTCTCTAGTTATCTCAAAATACTCATGGAAGATATATTTAAGTTACAAAATTTATGTAATTAACATTAAATTTTTATAATCTCTTAATAAAAAAATATACAATTTCTTAATTTTACTTTTTGAAAGAAAAAATTTAATAATTTTAACAATTAGGGATTAATATGATTAATTGATTAAATTATAAAAGCTTAATTAAAACAAAATAAATTCCAGGAATCTATTTCAAAACTTGAATCCATTATTTAATATAAAAAAAGACAAGCTAGCATTCTTGATCCAAATTTTCTCAAACTTATTCTAGCATTTCAAATAAATCCAAAAAAATAAACAGAAAAAATGATAATTAAGTCCCAATAAAATTAATTTATTCCACTAGATGCCAACAAATTCCAAAAAGGAAAGTCCCTCTAGTCCTTAGGTGGCCTTATGATCCACATTAAAAAAGACTCAAATACTTCTAATGACAAAAATTTTGACTATAAAAATTTGCAATTTTGGTTTGCAGCTTTATTTTCTAATTTTATTTAGAAACACAATATTTTAACATTAAATTTTAAAATTATTTATAACTTATTTTCTCATATTTGCAACTCCATTTAGTTAGATTTGCATCTCCATATACAAGTTTTATTAATGTACATCTCAACATTAATTTTAACATTGTTCTTTTGTCCGCACGAACCCTAACACTCAAATCACTATTTCCAAAATCATTGACTCATTCATGGTTCAAAAAATCTATCCCTAAGAGGGCAGTGATGAAAGAGACAATGGAATTAATTTGGATTGCAAAAAATCAAAGCGACAAGTGATATCAAAGCGGTGAGTTGTGTGACAATGATAAAGTGGGGGTGAGTTGAAGCAAGGACATAAAAGAAGAAAGAATGGTAACTTCAAGAATATTAGACATGAGAGAATAAGCTTAAGCTTTTGGAAGCTCCCAAAGG